TGCGTGTAGACCGAATTTTTACCCCGTGAATTTTTACCCAGCATCAATAATTCCGGAATTAAACCCTGACCCTGTTCCAGAGAAAATTCGTTGAAATCGATAGCCTGTTCCAGAGTAAAATCGCTAAAAACGATACCCAGTTCCAGAGTAAAATCGCTGAAAACGATACCCTGGTTGGCGGCACGTCCCCGGATAGCGAATATAGGCGAGTACCACCCCCTGCCCCCCTCCCTCCCCCGGGCCTCTTTGGATCTGCCCTTCTAGAGGGTGTCATCTCAAAACCCCAGACTCATGTTCAGCAAAGTCGGGATTAATTGCTATTATGATATATTCCATTTTAGGCCATACAGCCATCACATGCACAGGCTATAAGAGTTGATATACCTCCAGTTAACCAAGGATATACTGTGGCTACAGAGGGTGGTGTTCAAGGGGGTGGTAATCATGATGCCCAAGCACCTCCTCTTCAAACTAAAAGCAGAGACATGCCTCCTGTTTACCAACCATGATTTGATGTATGCAGTTTATACTGTAGTTGCTCTCTAATATTTAGGAACTGCATGAGCCAAGCTCAATAAATTTAGTATAGGAAATACCACCATTCGAGAAAAATTAATGAAAAATACCGCGCATATTTGATGAAAGCGAGAAAGCACGAGAAACAAGAAAACAGAAGCTTGTTGTGAATCCGAAATTTATACAACAATAAAAAAATTAAGAAATTAAGAAGAATTAAAGTCGAACTGTATGAATTTGCAATGTTTATAATCCGATTTCAGGGGCGGACACAGGGGGGGTGAACTGGGTGAACGTTCACCCCCCCTTTTTCCTGGATAAATTGAATATAAAAATATTCATATCAAGGAAATAGRGAAATRATTRGTTGWTATTTCGATRAACAACAYTTTTCMAAWGGACTAACACTTTTTAGCGTCTCGGGCATCTAAGAACACACAATGCATTCGTGGAGCTTTGGTACGTTTGGCGGGAAAATTAAATATGTTAACTCTTAAAAAATCAAAAGTCACCTCCCTAAAAAAAATCCTAGATCCGCCCCTGGCAAAGCATAGTTAATGACAGAATCAGTGGCGGTGGCGGTGGCGGTGGCCATGGCGGTGGCCCTTGGTAATGGTGATGGTGAAATTATATATTTGCCCTTAACTGAATTGACCAAAGCTAGATTTACTGCATATTGTGTTTCCAGCTACATGAACTAGTCAGCTTAAGAGATGTTAATGATTAAGAGGCAATTTTGTTTGTGGACGTAGACATATTTCATAAGTAACTTTCTATAATTCACAGGAATAAAAAAGTTTGCAAATGTAAGAAGAAACCTATAAGGGACTTGAAACGAACATTTTGACCATTTGGAAAATTCGGCCCTTGGATAACAGAATCTTAAAGGCCCGTTCTGGTTGGCTATGGTAAATTGAATTGTTCCAAATAAGGAAATGAGATGCAATACTGTAATATTTGCAAAAATGTTGTAAAAAAAATGTATTTATT